GACGGAGTGTGAATCAGACTCACCGAACACGACCAGTTCAGCTGGATCACTGTCTTTCTCACCAACCATGTTTGTTCCCACACACACATACATGCCAGCATCGCTCTTCCTGGTGTTGGAAATCATCAGCTTTCCTCCTCGGATCTGAAAACGATGGAGGGTGGAGGTCAGAAGGACATAAAGAAGAAGGAAGCGAGAGGAGAAAGGAGTCATGGAGGACGGGAGAAAGAGAGGACAAATGGAAGGAGAGAGGAGGCGGGATAGTGAAGCATGTTAGTGAGGAGTGAAGCCGCTCAGTCATCTTTAGCGACAAACCGCCAACATCATTCAACAACCATTCCAGCTGGAGGACAATCGCCATGGAAATGGTTTTAAAGTGGGCAGTGTGTGGGCGCAGCGTGATGAGTGGAGATACGGGACGCCGTCTGGATCCTCACCAAGCTCTATATTTAATATATAGAGCTGATATTTAAATGTTAAAACCAGAAATCCACACATTAACATCCTCTAGAACGTTCTCTGTGGAGTGTGCTTACAGTGATCCTCTCATCGCGGTCGTTGACCCGGATGTTGTTCCTCTTCCAGGAGATGGTGGGCTCAGGATGGCCTCTGGGTGGAACACACTCCATGACGGCGGGCTCGCCCGCTGCTACCACCACGTCGCTGGGAGTCTGACGGAAGTCATCCCTCAGAACTGGGGAGAAAAATGGATACAAGATTCAGAACCATGTCTGACGTAACGTCTTACTCCAGTCCTGCATGCGTCTGCTAATGAACCAGCGTAATGATGAGTCTGTGACCGCCTCACTGACAGCAGTCCCAGTGCTGAGGCTGGGAACCACAGCTTGATGCTCAGACTGTGCCTGACCGGACTGGAATTAAAACAAGGTGTGCATGAATCCCTGAGGTCTTCATTGGCTTCATATCATGAGTGTGTGGCATCCCAGAACATTAATAATGGAGGCTGCAGCAGCAGAGGCAGACAAAGCCCTGAATAATTCAGTCTGACCCAAACACACAGCGTCCTGCACAAACATCGCTGACCACAGCCGACAGGACTCCACCTAAACAAGCAAGGGAGTAAATCCATGTCCTCAGTAATTCAGTTGAATACACATCCTAGTAGAGTGTGCTTCCTCCATACCTCTGCAGTTCTGCCCTTTAACCACGATGGAGTCTCAGATTGGTGGAGAATTATACTACAGTCAGACCGCATGCGCTAGAGGCAGCAGAAGCAGCTGGTTTACATGCAAAGTCAGTGGTTGATGCATATCAAGGCACAGCGAAAAGCAGCATCTGACGAGCTTAAGGTCAGAGCAGCAAAGCCAGACCCAAACCTGGACCCGGACCCAGAGATATTATGGTTCATAGATCCAGGGACTGACAATCAGCTGAACCACTGTGTGCACCTATGAGGAGAACGGCTCTGCAGAAAAATAGGAATCCCAATTCCAACCAACCCGTAAGCAGTTCAAGAGCACTGGGGCTTCTTCTATGCATCTGTTAACCTGAGTTCAGGAACTACTTCCTGTCTTACTTCAAAATAAGAGTCCTAGATAAAGATCCAAAGGCTGTCAGCCTATAAATGTTCATCCATAGCTCACAAAAAGCTTCAAAGACTGGAAGCAAACAAAGCAGCATGCTAACAGTGCTAACAGTGAGACAGATGTTGGACAGATGTTGCTCCAGTGACACATGCTACATACCAGAAGCCATTTTATAAATCCAGTCTTCAATTGCTTAAACTCCATTCGTCCGTAAGGATCCACAGATTCAAAGTAATCCAGAATATTCATATTGAAAATATTCCATGATGAGAAAATCGCCACTTAACGTCCAGTTTTTGACATCAGAAAAGTTAGCTGGTCATAGCTATTGCTAATATTTACTTTCTAATAGTTATTTCCTCAGTTGTTAGCCCTTGGTGTTCGGTATGGTTCTTTACATCATTTTCTTACCTACAAGAAAAAAGCATCTTTGAATGACTATGATGTGAGTCAGGGACAGCTGATGAAGTCTGCCTGTCAGCCAATGATGCACCGACTAGAGCGATATCACGCCTCATAGAGTCCTGCTGTTATTGGTTAGGACCATGGGGCTTGTTTCAGGGTTATTCTATGGGTCAAATAGTTGAGTAACAGCATTTGGCAAAATTTGGAGACGATGTTTTAACTGATGCAGCTTGGCCTGTTTTACACTCTCCTCCCTTCACACTTTCACACTATTTTCATTTATATATTCAGAAACTAGAAGGTGTTAGCTTTTAGACTTAGACAGTACTTTATTGATCCTTTGGGAAGACTCCCTCTGGAAATTAAGGATCATTTAGGATATCATTTTAAATGAAATATGACAGATGTAATTTGGGCTTACGGTTCCTAAGTTATTTGCTTTTTCATCTGGGTATGCAAAATAGTTGAGGATTAGTTTAAAATGAGGGGGCATAGATGGCTTCCTTCACGCCTCTCTCAAACCATCTGTCTGCTTTCCTCAAACAAACGTCTTTTCTCCATTTTGTGGATATTTTCAGAGCCACACTTAAAAAAATGTCTCCATGTCAGGAATATAATCATGAAATTCTTTTGACTTGAATCTTCTACGCTGTCACAACATGTTTTTGTTTTTTATGAAACGACTCTATAATGGGCTTTCCAACATGTGCAGGAATCTGAGGCAGCTGTAAATGTTTCTGTTAAAGACAGTGAGACACATCAAACATTAGCAGCCTTATCCATGCAGACAGCTGCGCTCAGCCTTTTACACGTTCCTGCTAAATAAGCTGTCGACTGCATCAGATCTCTGAGGAAGGACTTTCTAATGTAGCGCACACCTCTGACTGATAAAGGAAGGACAATTATTCCAGCTACATTAAAGCATAGAGGAGCTTTTCACACAAAGATCGTTTCTGTAAATGTCGACTGCTGACACAGTTTCATGGTTTCTTCATTTTTAGACTTAGTGCCATTTTTACAGAGGCTGCCTTTACCTGTACATTTAACACTGAGGCAGATAGGACAATGCTGCCTAATGCTTAATGCCTCGTTGTCATAGTTACACATGGTTTAAATATAAATAACTATTGGTGGAAATGTCTTTAAACCCAAACATGAATAATACATAGTTTAGTTAATCAGTCTGCTGATGTTTCCAAGCTGAGTGGAGGAGAAACGATTCTTCCTCTGATGCTGCTGCTCATCTTCACTTTTCATTTCAGGAACTGAAACCTGTCGCTGCCTTCAGGGTAAAACTGCTGGACTTTAACCTGCAGACTTCTGTTTGTCTGAGATTCAGCAGGAAATACA